TTTCTCTTTATTAGGTTCCCTATACCTAATCCACCTTGGTCCTTAGGGTAACAAACTTGCTCCCATTTCACTAAATGATCTTTCTTTTCTTCACCTGGCTCCCACAAAAAGTCCCTCATAATCTTCTCCAATTTCCTAGCTATTTTCACTGGGATCTTAAAGGTGGAAAGGAAGTGAGTGGGAAGGTTTGCAAGGGTTGATTTTATCAAGGTGATTCTTCCCCCCAAGGAAATATAATTTCTTCCACATTGCCAACTTCTTCATGAACCTCTCTACCATTGGTTTCCAGAAGCTTTCAGCTTTCGGATTCCCACCCAAGGGCATTCCTAAGTATTCCAGAGGCCAATTTTTCACTTCACAACCAAGCAGATTTGCCATGGCTTGGAAATCCCCCCCTTCAATGTTGATTCTGGCTACACAGGTTTTTCCCCAATTGGCTTTCAATTTGGAGTTCTGCTGAAATTTATCCACCAATCTTTTCAGATTCCTTAAACTGGCTTCATCACAGCTTTCACAGAAAATAATTATGTCATCAGCAAATTGCAAATGAGACACCACTTCTGATCTACCCATTCTCCAACCCTTAAACTGGTTTTCTTGATCAGCTTTGGTGATTTGTCTACTCAAAACCTCAGCCACAAAGGTGAATAGAATAGAGATAAGGGGTCACCCTGTCTTAGTCCTCTTTTAGCTTGGAAGAAATCCTTTGCTACCCCATTCATCAGAATAGAAAAATGTGCTGAGCTAATACATTCTTTAATCCACATCCTCCATCTTTCACCTAGCCCCATCTTTTCCATTAAATTCAACAAGAAGGACCAATCCACCATATCATAAGCTTTTTCAAGGTCCAATTTACAAATCAAACCTTTGTCACCTTGTTTTCTCTTAGCTGCCACACACTCATTTTCCACTAAAATTTGATCCACAATTTGTCTCCCCTGTACAAATGCTCCTTAGTTCTGAGAGATAATATAGGGCAGTGCAGTCTTCAACCTACCAGCCAGGACTTTAGCAATGATTTTATACAAGCTACCCACAAGACTTATCGGTCTGTAATCCTTGGGGGTTTTGGCCTCCTTTTTTGGCACTAAAGCAACAAAAGTTGCATTTGCTCCAGGTGATAATTTTCCTTCTTGATAGAACTCCACAAATACATCCATTAATTCATCTTTCAAAATTTCCCAACATTCTTGATGGAAAGCCATTGAAAATCCATCTAGCCCCGGTGCTTTAGATCTATCCATCGAGAATATTGCTTCATGTATCTCCTCAATAGTGAAGGCTCTTTCTAGGAGGTTAACTTCGGATTCTGGCACTCTGTCCCACTGTAAATCTCCCAATTCTGCCATGTTTTCATTAGAGGATGCTAGGATTGACTTAAAGTGATCCACAAAGCATCTTTCAATTTCCTCTTTTGCAGTTATCACTCTTCCATCCACCTCTACACTGGAAATTTGGTTTTTCCGTCTTCTCCCATTTGCTAGAGAGTGGAAAAAACTAGTATTTCCATCCCCTTCCAGATGCCATTTACATCTAGATTTTTGCCTCCAGGAAATCTCTTCTTTTCTTAGAATCTCTTCCAATTGCACTTTAAGTTCCATCTTTCTATTCTATCCTCCACCCCACACTCTTTCCTGGCCTCCTTTTGGTCCACTTCCTCTATTTTCCTGGCTAAATCCTCCTTTATGACCTCAAGTTTTCCAAATTCCTCTTTGTTCCACTCCTTGACCTTTTCATTCAGTCTTTTCAGTTTCTTAGAGAATCTCACCACTTTGTTTCTAGCCCTAATCCCATCTTCTGACCACCATTCTTTTACCCTTTGCAAAAAGTTTGGAACTTCTAGCCACATGCTTTCAAATCTAAAAGGTGTGGGGCCACCAACAAGATTTTCTTGGTAAAGGCTTAAAGGGCAATGGATTTTCTATATTTTCGGTCTTGTGGAGAATCTGTAGTTCTCAATGATCCATACCGTTATCCCAGAGTCATCTTTAAACCTTGTTCTAGTTAATTAATACTTCTGTACACTCTTCCTTGTGTTATAGTAGTTTTACATCTGTTGGTATCAAAGCTTTTGATTCTACATCAATTGGTATTAGAGTTGTGGTTTTACAATCTACATAGAGTCATAGACTACATTACATCCTTACATCAGTTTGATTTTTATTGATGCATATCTTACTATGTTTAGAACACTTCTATGAGTCCAACCATGTCCAATTGTAATGTAATCTCAAATCCATGTACATGTCAGGACTTCCTGTTTTTCCCTCTTATCCTATGTTTAGGATTAAGGGAAATGCTTTATCAGTCTATGAACTGTTGCAACCTTATTTACTCAATAAAATCCCCATTTCTGCTGCCGAGCAATCTATAAAAAGATAAATTAATGCAAGCTCACCCAAGAATTTCTTTTCACTGTATTATTTGACAAATTTCAATGTCATGCAGGCTTCCCAAGACAAGAAGAGCTTGGATGTTGGAGCAAATCTTTTTGTTGGAAACCTTGACCCTGTAAGATTTTATCAGGCCTTTTACCTGCAACTGACTTGGCTTTAATACTTGAGTTTGACCCTGATATTCTTTTGCAGGATGTGGATGAAAAGCTTTTGTATGACACTTTCAGTGCCTTTGGAGTCATTGTCACAAATCCAAAGGTTACGTTGCTGTGAATTCTTCATAGACATTACTTGTTAATCTTGTGCCTTTCCTCTCTTGGTCTTATCACATTCTTTGTTTCCTTATTTGCAGTTTTAATTGGGGATATTTCCTGGCTGTAACTTTCTGTTAGGCATTGAGTTCTTACTTGAATGTTGAGATTTGAGAACTTGTTAATTTTGTACCTTTCCTCTCTTGGCTTTATCAGATTCATTCTTTCCTAATTTGCAGTTTTAGCAGACATATTTCCTGGCTGTAACTTCCTGTTGTGTATACAATTCTCATTTGCATGTTGTGAACATACCTAAGTGCTTATTTTCCATGATGATAAAACAACCCTAGGTGCTTGTGTTTTGTACTTTCTTTAAGTATGTTGGCAATTTTGACATATGCTTGAAGGTTGTATTGTATCAGAAAATAAAACACAGTAACATTTCAACAAAACATTGGTATATGGCAGAATAATTACAAGGCAGCATGGCATATGAAAACATACTCAACACTGTCAATTTTATTTGTGCTAATGCATACCTAATTAATGAATTTTTTACATGATAAAGCATACTGAAGCATCTTGGATTTCATAAAGCAATTAAGCTAATCACCCCAAAAAAAGCAATTAAGCAAGAGAACATACACTTATGCATTATTAAATTAGGGAAATGATATTTGGTAATTTGTATTTCATACCCTGCTCAACTTAGCTTATAGAAAGATGAATGATGTTTTTCAGAGGTATATGGATAGTTCAAACAGAAAATATGATTACAGAAACAGGTGAAGAAATTTAACCTAAAACTGAAAATGGAAAAGAAATAGAGGTATTCTTTTTAGGTGAGGTTGTGGGAAGGAGGTGTTTAGGAATTAGGAAGCTTGAGAAGGAGAGAATGGAAAATCTTAATTTTCTCATACTGAGAAGTTTCAGTTATCAGATGACAGCCTTAACTAGTAGTTGGGAGAAAGGTTCAAAATTTTGCAATGGCCAATATGTATCATTTTGGTAGGTCACTGATATGCGAAGCATAGGTGTTTTGTCCTTTTGATCCATTTCAGGGTATAGACAGCCTACGACCTACCCCTGACCTATTTTTGGAAAAAAAAAAAAAAAACTAAAAAAAGGGGATGCACAAGGTTAAAAGTTCCATTACGCCCATTCCAGCATATCATATCGATACTGTGAACCTTGGTTGGAGGTGGGAGAGAGGAGGTTGAAGGTGTTGAATCAAGTGGTACGAGACTGATAAGGTGCTATGGAGGAGGTGAGGACAGTCTTAAGTAGTAGTTGGGAGGTGAGACTTGAGAGAAGTTAAAGGTGTTTAATGGGGTGGTGCTATTGGAGGGGCATATTGATACTGTGAACCTTGGTTGGGAGGCGAGAGGAAGTTGAACCGTTGAAGGTGTTGAATCAAGTGGTACGAGACTGATAAGGTGCTATGGAGGAGGTGAGGACAGTCTTAAGTAGTAGTTGGGAGGTGAGACTTGAGAGAAGTTAAAGGTGTTTAATGGGGTGGTGCTATTGGAGGGGCATATTGATACTGTGAACCTTGGTTGGGAGGCGAGAGGAAGTTGAACCGTTGAAGGTGTTGAATCAGGTGGTATGAGACTGATAAGGTGCTATGGAGGAGGTGAAGACAGTCTTAAGTAGTAGTTGGGAGGTAAGAATTTAGAGGAAGTTAAAGGTGTTTAATGGGGTGGTGCCATTAGAGGAGGTGCGATGAAGAGTTGGTTTGTGTTCCACTTGATGATCTTTTGCCTTTTCTTTTGGCTTCTTTGTTGTTACTGTTGATTTCTTTTGGAGGAGTATGGGGCTCATTATTTTCCTAGCAATAATTGGGCTGGAAAGGGGTTGGTTATGGTTGTTGTACTTTTCCTATTGGTGATTGTTCTGTGAAAGAGTTTGGAGTCATTTGATGGAGTTGTGATGGTGGGGAGCTTTTTGTCCATTCATTCATCTAGGTGCTTTTTTGTCAGCTAAGGTTGTACTCTCTCTCCTTTCTTATTTTACTTGAATATTCATTCTACTATTAGAAACATTTTAAATACAAAATACAACGAGACAAATTAAACTTCATTAATTACTAGGTTCAATGTTGTCCAGAAATCGGCTCCAGATGGCAATCTTTCAGCATCTTCATACTTGGGTGAGCTGACAGTTGTTCCATTATCATGAAAATATGCTATCCTGTTGTTACCTTGTTTCCCATAAAAAATCTTAAGGCAATCTCTGATATGGACAAAGCCTTGCCTTGATTGTTCCTTTTTTTTCTAAGAATATTTAAAATAATGTGTCAATTGAATTGATAAAAGTTTTTAAGTTATTTTTTGGAGGAATTGGCAAGGGTTTGAATGCAACTTTTATAGCCCAAATCCCTGAAATGGTGGGGGCTTTCAATCCTAGAAACTTCCGTCCCATCACCTCAGGTAATCTTTGAAATAATTGCTAAAATTCTCTCTTAGTGGAGTCTGTGTTACAACCATTCAGCCTAGATCTGTTTCTATTAGAAGATGTTTCACTTGTGAATTATTCAATGGTTGGTTTTGATTTCTAAACACGGGAATAGTGGTGTCCAGACCCATTTTGGGTCTTTCGAATCCAGATTGAATATGCTTCCATCTGGTAATATGGAATATGGGCATCTCTAAAGGAGTTCTTAAAATATGGTTTGGCAATCCCTCAACCAAATGTTTTGCCTAATAAATGAACTAATGAAGAAAAAGTCAGTACTCAAAACATACAAATTATAGAAACTTGTAGTGAACCAGGTTTCTGCTGAAGTTGAGAATTGTGGTCAATGAACCTGGTATTGAAGCTATCTTTATTAAAGCACTGAACCATGTAAGTATGATTACAACTTTGTTTTACTCCAAATATTTTTTTTTTATCAGCTGTTTTACTCCAAAGCTTTTTTTTATCAGCTGTTTTACTCCAAGCTTCATGCACAAGGTTCAAGGTATCATATGATGAGTCCGGATCTGCTCCTCACACCAACCTCACAACACACCCCAACCGTATGTTGAACATCTACCATACTTATGTGTTATTATTCATGGGAGATGTTCCCAATGCATGGTGGGATGTGCCTGTGGGGTTGGTGTGAGGTGCATCTTTGAGGAGCAAATCCCAATTCTCATATGATACATATTAATTTTGAACCCACTGATACTCTAATTTTGAAGAATTTGGTTATTTCAACTTTATTAAACATTGATGCACTCTTAGTTGCATTTCATTTTGAATGTTGCTATACCTTCAAGGGTTCATTCAAAAATGCACTTGATTACTAGTTATGTGTTTCAATCTAAATATGCCTGGTTTTTCTCATTAATTTTGCTTACGTATTAACCATTGTGTATTGATCAGTGATACATCAATCTAAATATCTAATTGAGTTCTGATGTATGACTTTTGTCCTGTTTCAGATAATGAGAGATCCTGAAACCGGAAATTCTCGTGGTTTTGGTTTTGTTAGCTATGATTCCTTTGAGGCTTCTGATGCAGCCATTGAGGTAATTCTATTTTGTTTGTGCAGTTTTACTTTGGTGGTTCTTGATCTTTACTTGAAAAGAAATGATGTCTCAGGATGAACATAAAATTGAACCCTTGTCCCATCAACAGTTATGCCTTTCTTCTTGATTAGGTTGAGTGAAACCTAGTTGTCCTTGTCTTGTTCAACAGCAAACCATCTGAAGTAGTGTATTCTCATTTTGTTTTTCCTGTTTCTGCAGGCAATGAATGGTCAGTATCTTTGCAATCGTCAAATAACAGTGTCTTATGCATACAAGAAAGACACCAAAGGGGAGCGTCATGGTACTCCGGCAGGTATGGATCTTCTGTTTATTGCCTTGACCTTAATGTTAGGCCTCATCATGCTGAATTTACCATATCAATTTTCCATATGAGCTGGTGCAAATGATTCATTTATTGGTTTTCCATATCAAATTTACCATATCAATTTGTGTTTTAAATATTTTGTTTAAATAATGCTGCTTATGTTTGCTAATAAACTGCAGAGAGAGTTTTGGCCGCGAGCAATCCTAGTGCACAGAAGAATAGGCCCCATACTATGTTTGCAACTGGACCTCCCACACTCCCTGCTGGTCCTCCGGCCAATGGTACAATGGGGACTCCAGTACCTCCTCGCCCTTTTGCCAATGGTCCTATTCCACCGGCACAAATTCCAGCAATTCGCCCTCCCCCTCCACAAGGAGGGGCCTTTCCACCTCCTATGCAGCTATCAGGCCCACCAACTTGGACAGGTCAGCCACAGCAACAGGGCCAAGGGCCACCTGTCATGCCACCTCCACTTCAGCAGTTCAGACCTCCTGTCAGACCACCACCACCTAATATCCCACCACCTCCCCCACCACATGCAGCAGGACTTTCAAGGCCACCACCACCTCCCATGGGGGTGAGTGCACCACCACCTGTTTGGCGCCTAGCTCCACCTCCGCAGCAAATGGTTGGGAGACCTATGCCTCCACCTCAAATGTCCATGCCACCACCTCCACCTCCCAATGCTCCACCTCCATCTGCGAGTTGAGAGAGAAAAACATTGATGAGCTATCGTTTACTCCCAAAAGTTTTGTTGCTGGGTATATGTTGACAATGAAGAGGATCTTGCTGTTGTTTTATTTTTTCGACTTTTTGCTGATTGTAATGTAATATAGACATGAAAACCATTCGGTAAAGTTCTTTACTCGCTAAGTGAAAAAACCAGTTGTTTGAATTCCACTACTCGGGGGGTGTTCTGCGACATGAATTGTTCTTTTTGTGATTTCTAGGAAATTGTGCCCCTAGATGGTTTGAAGAACCACTATTTCTTAAAATGGAAAACTTTGAAAGTACGCAGAACATATTCTTGGTTGTATAGCTTTTATTTATTTATTTTTCAAAGGAGAATCAGAAGTTCTTAGTTTTTTTTTTTTTTAATTTTTGGTTTCAAAAACATGATTTTCTTTGGACCCAAATTCATTGAATGTGGGATGATATGATTCGTTTTTTCTTTTGGAAGTGAAATAAACTATAAAGCAGAGCTTGTGAGGATATTTTGGTTTCTGTTTAAGTGCCACAGGATTAAGCACTTAGCAGTTGCCTAGATCCGGCTTATGGGAGTGAAAGTATACATCTTTTAAAGCATTTATTTCGTTTGTTTTTACAATGTCATTTTTTTTAATCAAACCAAAAAATTTAATGAGTTGAACTCTCGGGTTTGGGGTATTTCTTGCTCATTCTTTGTTGGTCGTTTCCTTGAAAGCGTAGTCGTGACAACTCTGATTCTTGTAATATTTACCTATTCCGTAAACAATTGCAAGAGCTGTAATTGGATCGGATTTTGGAGTGAATGTACCTCCATCCGAGTTCGTTCCCAAGTGCGATCAGATCTATGGATGGTCAGGTCCAATTCATAATTCATCGGACCTTATGGATATTTGGATGTTATACAAGTTAGGTTATTGGGAGTCGAATGAATGAATGGAGTTTGAGCGTCAATTGATCTTGCCATTGTGGTTGCCTTGCAGTTTTGTTGAATGTTGAATTGTTGATCACCTTCCTGAATAACTTTTGACTAATACCATCTCACCTTACTCATCCTCTGTCAATTTCTCCCCAGAATTCTTCTCTAGTCGATTTAGAAGCCAAAGTTTGTTACTTCAATGAAAAGCTGCATCCAGAACATGTATTAAATGAAAGAGCCCAGCCAAATAATGAGAAAGGAAAACAAGGGAAGATACTTTCTAAAGAACATGATAAAAAACACAAAAAATACATTCAGGTTCCCCTTGAATATGGTGAACAGAATAGAAGCAATACTCAGAAGTTATGGAACATATACTCAACCAACACAGGAAACGACAGATGGGAAGAACAAAGAAATCTTCAGACTGATCAAATAAAAAACAAGTTGATCTTGAGCAAAGAATTGAGAAGTTTGATCTCAAGTATCATTTTATACCGTTGATTCTTGATTTCTCAAAGAACGTGCCAACCAGGAGAAGAGGGTTCTCTGGACCTCTCCTATCTAGATTTCTCAAAATTCTCTGGACCTTTTTTTTTTCTGTTGCTTAAGTTTATTTCAATCAGAGTTTGGATTTTGGATTTCCTCCTCACACCCACCTCACAGCAAGTTGCAGCTGCACGTTAAGAATATATCTGGTACTTGGGCAATACTTGGTTTTACCTGCCATTGGCAATACTTGGCTCCTACCCCATTGGAGGACATGTGTCCTGCCACCTCTTGTTTTCAGATTTAAACCCTGAAATTAAACCCTAAACCTTAAAAGTTGAACTCTAAAGTCTAAACTCTTAAATCCTAAAAACTCTAACTCCAAACCTTAAACCCTATAGTCTAAAGTCTAAACCCTTAAATCCTAACCCAAAACCTTAAATTTATTGTATAAAATGCCTTTGGTTGGATGCATGACTGCATGTCCTCCAATAGGGTTGGAACTAGAACAAGAAAAGCATCAAAGAGTGAAAAGAACAACCATTGACCTAATCGTAAAAAGGAAGTCTTAAATTATCTTCATGAAGCAGATGCTTGAATGGGCTAGAAATACTCTCCATGGACCATGGTGGTGAATTAGTGATTAGTGACTACTTAATAAATCTCTTTACCAATACGAGTTCAGATCTGTGGGGCGCCCCACAGCGTCCCACAGCACATCCCTGCCATGTATTGAGAACACCTCCCAATGATAGTATCAAAACCGATGATGTCATCATCGGGAGATGTTCCCAATACACGGCGGAGATGTACTGTGGGGCGCAGATGTGTACTCTACCAATACCTTTATTTTCCAGAAAATCAAGACACTAGTTTCCTTCAACCTAAGAGTGGTGAAAAGCAAGATTAGTACCTGCACTTGTCCTCTTAACCTCACATAACAAGTAATTAATTTGCCAAGATTGTGAAGTCTTGCCTAGCAAAACTTTCCACTTAAACGTCCGTATTTGGCAATTGGCATATCAAAGCTTGAGGCCATCATGAACAGCAAGAATGTTGGTAAGAATAGATGTACCATTTACCATGGAAGTTATGAAAAACAAAACAGAATGTACCAAAACTATTTCTTACAACCTCACCAATTCCACTTCCACGTAAGCTTGGATTGCCTTGGCAGGCACCATCCATATTTAATTTAAATAGAGAGTTTCTATAAAAAAAAAAGAAGAATTATGGGGATAGTGCCAAAAAATTCCACTGAGTTTTTTCTTCTCTCTTTATATAGATTTGATAGGAATATTTAGAATATTAAGCTCAAGGGAGCAATTATCCATAGTAGAAGGTTGGCAGTAAAATTTGAGCCAGGTTTGGCTGGAGACAAAATTGTACACAACGGGCGGGGCTACCTATCACTCCAGTGTTCAGTACAGATGGGGCCTAGATTGAGCCCAGTGTGAACACTGGCGTGTTTACTCGTGATAGGTAGCCCAGCCTGGTGTGTATAATTTTGTCTCCAGTTCATCCAGATTGGTAAAATTCATAGTTAAGTGTACAATTCTAAAACTTATTAATTTTGAAATTAATTTTAACTGTTCTAAGATTCTTCTATAACAATTTATAACCTTTGAGACTAGAAAGCCTATTAAAATTACTTGCTAGGTTTTTTGTGCAATGGATACATGGGAGATTGGCCATTCTCACTAGGGTACAACTTGGATTGTAGTGGGATCAGCTAGACATGACCCAGGATAATGCTTAGGTTGGACTTTGGATAGACCAAGCCCAAGGAATGTTATAAGGCTTCTTCTATTTCAATTTCTCTTGACAAAGAATGTACATTGCATGGGTCCCTACCATTGTTTAGAAAACTGGACCAGATTGGTTGGTCAGACCTTGAACCGTGACCTAGGCCCCTAGCCAGTCTGGTCAATGGATGGTTCAACCTAAATACCAGTGAACTGGTCTCGGTTTTAGAAAAGAAGCTAGTATTTTGAATTATTTTTAAACATAATTGCAAGCTTCCGAAGGCCATACCTTTGCACTTGGATGTCCGATTAGGGTGATCTTTTTATTTTCCTAACTAACTTTTTGAGACGTACATGTTCCCAAAGGTGCCTGTTTTTGCCAAAAATGCCTTTTTTAGCCTCAAGTCTTAATTTTTAATATAAAAATTGAAACTAAAATAAAAATCTGTTATAGCACAATATAATTACATATTTTTAGTATATGTATATAATTAATATTGTTATGTATATATGATATAATTGTGCATATATATTAAGAGAGAGAGAGAGAGACCAAGCGTTATTATAATCCTGATTACAATTTCTTCAATAGAGTTCTGAAAATAATTCATAATAGGTGCAAAAATACTGAGTAACGATGGAGTTTGTGCCTCTTAAAAATAAGGGAGTTTGCTTAAATAGCCCTCTCAAAGTAATGGATAACAAAGAGTTTATATGCAAAACCCAAAATCAACATGTTCAAATGGCACAGAAAATAATGAAGTAAAAAGAGAGATGAGAAAAAAGAGAAGAGAAGAAAAGAAAAGCACACAATTTTCAAGGTTTTTAAAACCGATTTGGAGAACGAACCGGCTAGGGGTCTGGTTTCTGAGTTGAACGGTCTGACTATTCGAGCTAAATGGTCAGTTCGTTCTGACAAAAAAAATAAAAAATGGTCAAAACTGTTTGAACAGTTCGAATGGTTAACCGCCTAGGTCAGCGGTTTTCTGACCAAAAACAACGATTTTTCGAAAAAAATCGGGTTTTGGGGAAAAACAGAACTAGTCACCTGATTGTTTCCCAGTTTTTTTGGTCCGACCGTCTGGTTTTAAAAACCATGCAAATTTTCATGATTGTCCATCACTGGTGAAAAAGTAAAAACCCACTAAAGAGAATGATAATGGAGCATACAAGATTGAGTGACATCTCTAAAACCCTAAATCCTAATACATTCCAAGAATTTTGGCACTGTTTGAATATATTTCTACTTTTGTACTTTTAAAAATGTCAAAATATAAAATATATAAAATACTTTTATTTTGGTAATTTTGCTTTGAAAATCATTTGTACAAAAAAAAAATTGAAAAGTATGCCTTTCAAAACAGAAGCACCATTTTCTGTTTGGCAAAAGTATGTCCATTTGTACTTTTAATGACGATTTCCCATGGTTTCAGGGTCTGCGATCAGTGATGGTAGTCCGATTCTAGCAATAGCGAGCTGAGGTAGAATCGAGAGTTTTATTGAAGGGTCCCATTCGCATAAAAATGAAAGCACAACTTCACCAAAAGCACAAAAAAGTATAAAATACACATTACAAATGCTATATTGTGTTTTTTGTATTTTTATACTTTGAAAAGTATGACAATACTTTATAAAAATAGTCTATCCAAACAGGGCCTGTCTTATTTGTTCTTGGCTTCTAAGAAAATGAGATATGAATATGAGTCATGAAAAAACCCCAACCACATATAGAAAATTTTCCTCAAAATTATCACAAATCTCAAATAATTTTTCTTTTTCAGATTTTTCTTGACAACTGATCAACGTAGTTATGATCAAAGGTGCTCTCCTAGCAGGCTAGCAGTACTTAGCAAAAAGCAATTTATTAAAGCATATCCCATCTTTGATAAAAAGAGCGTGCCAATAAGGTTATGTTTGGTTTAAAGGAGAAGATTAAAAAACTGATACAAGGTTTGTAAAGACTTTCTTACATTTTCATTCCTTACTTTTCCATCAAACCAAATACAGTGTAAATGAATACTCAGTTTTATGTTTGATTTATTGGTGCGCCCAACGATGGGCACG